TGATCTTGGGTCACATTCCAGCTCTGTGCTAACCTGCTTTATGAAACTACAAGTCAATGGCTCTTTCTTTAGATGGTTCTGTATCTTTAGCACTGAACCAGATTAGCTCAGAAACCTACATAAAATGTTAGGACTGATTACCATTTTTTTCTCTCAATGGAATTCATATTGCCTTATCATGCTGATAACAATAGAGTAGTCATCTTCAGTACTGAAGGAATGCAGATATAGTTTCTCAACGTAAAATATTAGTATGCATAAGGAGACAGCAGAAGTATCAGACAAGAGTTGGCAAGGGAAAACTTATCCAATAGGCATAAGAAATTAAGTCAGCTGGAACACCTGCCTTGGAAAACTAGAAAAAAATCACTGTGTACTAAATTACTTTTAAAGCAATTGTCACTTGCAAAGGATGATGTTCTGGGCACCACCACTGAAGAACACTTTTTTTTAATAGATCAAGCTGAAATGAAACACAGGTTGACTTACAGGTGTAATGCTGGAATACAAGAACATTGTACAACACTGGCTAACATTAGTTCCTAATGCCAGAAAAAAATAGGTCTCTATTGAAGACTTGGAGTCTTATTAGAACCAGAGTTTCAATGCATGATTTCTTTTAGAACAATACCATTAAAACTATATAGCCATGGGATACATAGAAATGTCAAGAACAGCAGATTTTGTAAGTTTTGTTCTGATTTTGACACTGATACCTGAATTTCCATTTAATGATTTGTTAAATAAGTTACTGATTACTGATCTGATACTTCCAAAAGCAACTGCTAATGTTTTGAGTATTTGCACAATTATTTTGCAAAGTTTACCATGCTGTCAGATACTAAGTTTCGGGTTTATTATTGTATGGTGCTCCAGAATGTCTGATCTCGTCTAATTTAAATCTGTAATTTATGGAAGCTAATACTAAGAGATATTCCCACACTCACCCTTATAACTTCACTGGAAAGAATCCTAAGTTTTCTAATAGCAGTGGAGTAAAACTGCCTCTCTTGGGAGCACACTCAGACCTGCAGTGCACCTTGATGGTCCATCTTCATTACATGCTATAGTGAAACACTGCATTTTGGTAAGAAACAAGCAGCAGTGTCACTAGGATCACAGATTTTTCTATGACTAGGAGGACAACCATTTAGATTATTTTCTGATTTTAATGATACTAGTTTTCAATAGCCATGAGCAAAAAAACTAGGTGAGAGTCAGCTGTCCTGGTTTTCACTATACTTACATTTAATTGCAAATTAGACTACTTTCCTACTCTTTGTTCTTGACATGTTTATGGACAACATCCCTACAGCTAAATGCAGTTGTAAACAATGGAATTGTAAAATCTTCAGCTCTAAAATACAACATGCTTTCTTATACAAAGTTAAGTCTCCCAGCGTATCTTAAAACAAATTAGACAATTTTTTTTTAATTAGGATATTTTAAATTTAACTTTCAGGGAATTTCTATTTGCAATAGACAAAGTTTGAATTATTGTTGGTTAAGAGCATGGGATTAAATTATTCCTCTTAAAATTATACATGGAGAACTACACAATCTGAAGACACCTTTCACTTCTTTCAGTTTATTGAAAGGCAAATTACAGACATTTCTCATCATATCCCAAAATCAGGAAACTGGGCTGCACAAAACACATCATTCTTTCCCCGTCTTACTTTCTATTGTGTATTTCATGGTACAGTGAAATAATAGTGGATAAGCTTTCTTCTAGAATTCAGACTAAGTATTCAGATGTCAACAAATAGGGACCCATAGTCTCATTTCATACGAGAGGAGGCCTGAGGCTGCAATTTCTGCACTTGCAAAGATGGATTTCATAAAAAATCAAAACCAAAAACCAATATGCTGTTGTTCTTTGGAAAACCTCTGTCCCATTTGAGTGTTTGACACCCAGATTTGAGAGCCAGCTTCTATCAATAGGCTTGACTGGAAAGTGGCACTGAGACTTCTAAGCACACATTGTATGACTTGCGCACTACAGTAAGTTCGGCCACAGCTGGTTTTCCTTGAAAGGCTATTAAGAGGACTTCCTCTCCTGGAGAGAGGGGAATTCTGGCAAGAGAATAGGAGATCTATCACACAATGCCTTTCATCTGAAGTGCCATCTACTGAGTGTGCAAATAGCTAGGTTCTGCTCACCCTGTATGTCTGGTCAGAGCTTATCTCCAGAATTCTTTATGCTATCAGCCCAAACATCAGAAGTAGCCATGTCACCTGAGATCAGCCACACTCGATGCGAAGATTTTTGCAAGGATAACAGCAGGTGTAAGAGCAATATCCAAATGAAATTCTGCATTTATTCTGAAGACAACCTCTCACAATACCCACATAAAGGAGGCTTCCCCAGCCACTTGAAGAAATGCAAAGTTAATGGATTCCAGAGGAAAAAAAAAGCAGTATGGTGATTTTGATAGGAGAATCAAGCTACCCACTTTTTTTTCTTGTCTTATAATTGTGGTTTGGCCAAGGACTCATCTAGCTCTACTATCTCTTTGAATTAGAGGGCTGGAGGAATAGAAAAACCCTCACAGAGCCCCAAGCTACTTCCTTCTCCTGGATTTATTTTCTCTAAGTGGAATTCTCTTTTTCTGTTCAAAAAAAAAGGCTCCAGGGCATGGCAGGGCCTGCACCTGCTCTCCACAGACAGCAGTAACCCTTTCCTTTCTAACATATCTTGTGTACAGCCTATCATATGCATATATTAAAAAACACCACCCACTCTTAAGTCCAAGTCTAATTTCAGTTGAGCTGCCAGTGACTTTATGTTCAGGACAAGTATATCGTACAGCAACACTACTGGGCATTAACAATCTTGGTTTTTAATAAATCCTTTAAAATGCACACATGACAACATTAAACGGCACTAGATTATATTTATAAGTGCTCTGCTACTTTCCTGGACATGAAAGAGAAATTAGATTTAGTTTGGTATTTCTCAAGCCACTGAAGCTAGTGCTTTGGAAAGTTGCTGTTAAAATATTTAATCAATTACATTCTTCTGATATTAATCAAAACATTTTTTAAAAGCAAGTTACCTGAAAAAAAAACTTTCTAGAAGAGAAACAAAAGAAGCTTTTTATGTCAATTTTTTGTTTAAGAAAAATTTAAAATGTTATTTCAGAATTTTGAAATATTCATATTCTGTGATTTTTTTACACTATTCCAGGAAGTAGGTATACTGAAAATACATCACTAATGAAAATATCACATAAAATGCTGCAACTAGAGAAAATGAAAAAAGCTGATTCATTATCAAAATTCCAAAACAAACTTGGTAATGAGGTCTCAGGTTGTTTTATCTCTGTCAATGGGCAGCTTAATTTCATGTTACTTGGAAAACGAACAAGCGATTAATGAAGTAGGACATGCAGTCTTCCAAATCTGATTCTTGTTAAAACCAACAAGCATCAAGGATAAGTGACATTGAATTAGAAGTTTTACTTTATATTTTATAACATGTATGTCTAAAAATAACAGCTAATAAAAATGAATTGTAATATCCATCTTAAAATTATTCCAATTTTGATTTGGGAGTTTATATAAAGGTAGAAAAATATTTAATGTTCTGATTTTAAAGGCTTTTTCTTTCCAGTAGAACTAGCCACTATCCATTAGGTTTTAGGCACATAGAGATTTTTCACTTTTTTTTTTTTCCTGTGTTACTTTGGGAAATTTCTGCCTCCGTGATTCACAATTCTGTAGACCTTCTGGTCAAAAATCTCAGTGAAATATTTATGTGCAGATGTGGAAATATTTGTAGGGCCCTTCATCTTTTAGACATCTTAATTTATTTGGGTCACATAAATAGCACTAAACAGTAATAAAATATAAATGGAGCTCTCATTTTTAAGCTGAATATTTCCATAAGAATAAAAGTGACTCAATATATTTGTTCATTTTAAGTAGAAATTGTAAACCAAATGTGAAATGATTATGGGAAGATCTAAAAAAAAATCAGTAAATAATTATGAAACTCATCACTAATGCAGTAATATTGCAACATATCACTAAAGTTAGTATCTTCCACTAGGAGTATTGTCTGCTGCCTTTCTATTTAGCTTGTTAAAATCTCAGGTAAAGTGACTTACTCTCTGGAAAGACTCTCTCTCTTGGTTCATTCAGGAGGCTTATAACCCCAGGCTTGGTGTGTCTTAAGGCATCTCAGTTTATAAGTCTGAAATAAGGTGAGAGGAATCCCAGAAGAATTTCTGACTGCAGTAGAGTTCAAAAATGGATCTTAAGGATTCAAGATTATACAGGTTTCAGTAACATTTTCTTCCTCAAAGTTTCTTCTTTAAAAAAAAAAAAAAAAATTATATGCTGCAGCTAATACTATGCTAACAAGATTTCACCTCTCTTAGAATGCTTTTTTATTTGTATTTGCCTCTTTGGGCTTTAATGTGAGAGAACTGGTGAAACTCCAGTAACTTCTGTCAGAAAAGAACATAAATTTTTAATATCCTGGGACCAGAAATATATCACATAACTTAATCCTAAAAAGCGTTTCTCATGCCTTGAGACAAATGGACTTATAAGTGTTAGTGTTATGTTCATATTCAGTCTGTACATTTCTTATAATGTAGAGCAGTGTCTCAACAAAAGTACTGGGATCTAGATCAGTTCATCTGCCACTTACATTCTTAGATAAAGTCTGTTTCGTCTGTAAATTATTTACTTATTCTTTACTTCATTTCCTTCACAGCTGTTATTTCACATTGTAACATTTTAGTTTTATTAATGATATCTTAATAAGAAAAATAATTAAGCTGCTATTATTTCTATCTATTGAAATTGCGTTTCTGAAGTTATTGAGTTGCATTACTGTGGAGTGTCTTCCGTGTTTATAACCTTCAGAGTCTAAATAAGATCACTGGTAAAGCAATACAGGTGTTAGGTACCACAATAAAAGCAAGTTTCCATTTTTAGGAGCACAAAAGAAAGATGTTTTTAATATAATCCCTTTCCCCCTATATCAGACATCTGTGATTAGAGGAACCTACCTTGGCCTAGAATACATGAGAAAAGGAAATGGAGGCGATGGAGGAGTAATCATTAATATCTCATCCTTAGCAGGTGAGAATATTTTCTGTATAAACACTTTCTACTCACTGGTTTGTTTCTAAAATAAATGAATCATGCTGATCAGTCCTACTTTTTCTTCTTTCTTATGGCTCTTCTCTGTTTATTTCCATTTTGACCTGTTTTTCATCATAGCAATGCAAGTAACATCAAGCACCACAACTTTCATTTGCTTTTTTAAACTCAGTTCAATGAAACATTCAGTAATTTTCCTAACCTATCACTCTTACAGATAACAGTCTTGAGCATGACGTAAATATTTTTCAGGTTTCAATACTGCCACACACAGAGGAAAATCTAACTAGTCTCAATTCATTATGCTTATTCAACAATATTTAGTAACACTGCTGAATTAAAAGATAATGTACATCACACTGTGTGTGAAAAATCAAGTCTAATGCACAGACCTAATTTGAATTCAGGGTTACTCTAAATCTGATTTTTTTTTTAACCTGTTATAAAGTATTAATCAGGCATCAAATATGGAAAATCAGATAATCTCATTTCACAGAAAGTGAAGAAGCAGTAGCAGGTCCTCCAGTCAACTCCACAGGAGTGCAGCTGTAGGAATATTTAAGATTAGACTGTATCTACTTTATTAATGAAGACTGTCACACACCAACTTATGTTCCAAGTCCTCTCAGATGTGAACTACCTCTGCTTAAGAAGTCATACAATTAACACTCATATTCCATTGAGCTTAAGCAAGCACATTCTTTGCTCACTACTTATCTGTGCTATAACTGTATTTCAATTTATTGGCATAAAAATAGAATTATATGGCTTCTAAGTCAGTCAGGATTATCACTGCTCAGTTGTGAAGCAGAATCCTGCACCGTTTCGTGTAGGTACATTCAATGTTGCAGTGGCTAGGCTCACAGCAAAAAAAAAAGCACAACTGAAGGGGAAATGGTAAATAGAGAATGATGTCACCTGACACCCTTCCTCAAAAAATTTGTGGGGAAATACTTGCATTCTCTCTTGTTTCTTTGAAGAGTTTGTTCTCTCTTGCTACTGTCACACCGTCTGGGAAAAATAATACGTATGCTAGCTTACACTTGGATTGCTTTCTTCAGTACCCATGCAGAATATCGAATTATAGTAATTTTATTCCAGGGTCTTTCAACAATAAAAGGCCACTAAGACAGCAGTGGCCATAGTTCCCAATTGTGGATAGGTGTGAAAGTCCTGAGTACTATTAAATTCTCCTGTAAACCTCGGCTTTTGTCATGAGAAGTCCAGCTCACCCTGTCGACATAATGCATGGGGATCTTGAGGATCTGACTTAATGCATGCACATATCCCATATGGGCAAGGGCTTTTTTATCAAGTCCACGTACCTTTACGTCAGCACTTGCAATACTGCCTAACACATTGCTTACTGACGCCAGTGAGTTTATCTCCATTGGCTCAAACGGACATAGTTGTGGGACCAGACTAACCCGAAGGAAACTGCTGTTGCAGTACAAGGGTTCACCAACACAAGTAAAAGATTAAACATTTTCACAGAACTGCTGATGCCCATGCAGTGCTTAAGAAAGGGCAGAGGTAGCAAGTAGTTTGATTCCTCTTCTAACAACTCTCAAATGAACACAAAACGATTTTGGTTTTAAGACCTAACAGCTTGGCTGTTCTTGGTTTGTTAAGAGCTTATAAGTGCTGTTTTAATCATTTAATTAAAATTTGCATTTATTTACTTACTTTTTTAATATTAACATTGTGCCATAATGATTGTGGGTATCTATCAAAAACAAAGTGTTCTTTGCTTTGTTTGCTTTTACATGGCTTGTATTTTGCAATTGTTTCCAAGGTCATAAGGAAAAACACATTATAAAAGCTGACATGCACTAATTTTTTTTGTTTATTTATTTACTACTATTTGTGCTGTGTGACTCTAATTCTCCTTTCCAGTCTGAAGGTCTAAGTCCTGCAGTTTATTCCATATATAAAAGGCAAACTGCCATAGGCTTGCTTAACACTCCCTTTGAGTGTTTTCTTTTCTCAGAGCTAGCTTCTGTTGATCATTAAACTCTTGAGTGATTTTGATCACCCCTGTCCAGGTTCTTTATAAGATTTTATCAGATAGGCTCTGCAGACAGCAAATATTCCTGTCTCTTGCTGAGCAGCAAGAAGAGTTATATTTAGTGCTTACTTAACATTCAATAATATTTGCCTTGCACATTAATTAGTTTCCAGTTCTTCACCATGGGAATTTTGCCAATGATTTGAACTAGGGACAGAATCAAGCCTTACTATTTTATATTTCCAAACACTCATGGAACTATTTAAATGCTTCCTATGAAGTGGATGCTTAAAGTGTTCATTCAGCTGGATGAAAGCCAGAGCGCCCACCCTGTCTTTCCAGTATTGGATCTTCCTTTCTTTAGTGTCTCCACAAGAGAGAACTGAGTAAGAAAGGGAGATAAATATGTCTTTCCTTGCAAGCACCCAACTCCTAACCCACTGCATATCAAAGCTATAAAATTTTCTTAATTCTATGGGACTTGTGCATTGCTTTCAAGAGGAAGTAATACCGCTAAACAACTGAGACAATGGGAAGTGTTTTATTGCCAACTTGGCCCCATAAAAGATAATGCCAATGACTTCAGGTTTTTGCATTGTAATAAACTTCATTTCAAATTCAAAGAATAAAATGTTCTAAAATTTCTTCTGTAGGAAGCCATAAACGTTAATTTTAATTTTGTGTAACAGAATAGTTACAAGCAATAGAGAAAGCATACAAAACTAAATTTAACTCCTGAGATTATTTACATGGTTAAATTTAGCATTGTTGCTTACCTTTTGGCGGCTGGTACCTGTACACTTTTAGTAACTAAAGGGGGAAAGGAATTCATGTGTATGCATGCATTTTTGTTTTGATAGCTTTTATACTTTCAAGAAGGTATTCTGTAAAACTGAATTTGTGTCAGTCTGGATTCTAGCAGATTAAAAAAAAAAAAAAAAGTATTCATAGAGGGCTTAAATAGTGGTAAAATGTTTAGCACAAGATCATGCTGGGTTTTTTGAGAGGTTGTTCAATGTGTAGTGTATCTGGACACCTTTCTGTTGTACAGCCAAATCAGTGGTTTGATTACACTCAACTTCAAGCACTCAGGCTCCACTAGCAGCCAGTTTGTTCTCCTCCTATAAAAAAGCTTCATCCAAAAGAAATACTTAAAGTACTCTGCACAGCAAACAGGTTTCTTTAGGACCCGATCCTATATATATTACAAGAACAAAGCCAAGCAGATGGTTAACATCATTGAGCAAAGGCAAGACTTTATCACAGTGGTACAGTGGTGCAAAGGTGTAAATGTGTGTACAACTGGGGCTTTTGGTTTAGCATCATGAAAGAGCTTCTGGTCCCTCTCCCTTGTAAAAAGGAGAATGCTGAGCAGAATCCACAGGAATGAGGTTAGAAAATTTAGAAACTATTCCCTTGAGACTTCAGTTCACTATTAAAAAATTTCCTAGAAATGACACAGCTTAGAATTTTTGCTTGGATTTCTGTGTCTCCTTTGTTTTGACACAGATCACAGCAGTATAACTGGCATAAAGAATGTGATCTTGTACCCCTCCCCATTCTTATGAATAGGATATTATGTAAATCCCTTTAATCAACTCTCTCATCAATCTGTAGGACCATCGTGCCCCTAGCTTGTTTTGCTAGGTATATATCCGCTTCTTCAAAGAGTCTTTGGCCTCCAAAGAACACTGTAAGCATATTCCATATCCAGACTTTTGCCTAAGGGCAACAAAGATTTCTGTAATGTGGTTTGGAAAGATGGTTAATTTAAATAAATACGGCTAAATCTTGTGACATTATTTATATATTTTTAAGTAGTCTATGTTTTGCAATAGGCTTTGATAAGTATATTTTATAAAACAAACCTAATAGAGAAAGAAAAACCAATTACTTTACTTTTCCAGCACGTAGAGAAGCACACTTTCGGTTTGCTTTTAAATCTGTTCCATCAGTTTGCCAAAACTTATCTTTCAGCATTTTCACATATCTCTTTCATAAACAATGAAAAATGTAGTGGTTTAGGATGCCACACAATGCTGTAATTATCATTCTAGTGAAAGAAAAATTAAAGCTTTTAATGGAATATTTAAATGTTTTGATAGTGAATATATTTGTCTAAATTATAACTGGGAATAGAGTTTAATCACTGCAAAATCATAGTGTAGAAGCGGTGCTGTCTGACACCCCAAAGCCTCCATGAGATTGACAGCCATGTTAGAAAGTTCCCTGTCCCCTTTCACGTAACAGTTCAGTGATGCAGTAACATCTGAAGGGAGGAAAATCTAGGCATAGGTGCCTCCCCTTGCTAGGAGAGATTGAAGACCACATGTATCGCTTCCCAGGAGACACTGCCCCATCACCATCCATTTCAACACCCCCTGTTATTTCGCGCATAATGTTCTCCAGTCTGTTTCACTGCCCTTCCGCTTTGCATAAGATAGTTAAATATCCATGGGAGTAGCAAATAGAATCCAGATTTTCTAAGGAATGAATGCCCTAATTAATATGCTATCAACTCATCCTTGCTTACTGGTTGAATGAATACTCAGGCAGAGCAGGCTCAATGTCACACAGCGGTTTGTCCCAAAATACTTGTTAGCAGAGTCCCCAGGACACACCACTAACAGACAGAGGCTCAGCCCTTCCCAGGGCAGAGAACGGGCTCAGAGCTGGAAATCCCACATCGTGGTTCCGAGTGCTGAACTCTTGAACAAAAGTGAGACAGGACTGTCATTGTTTTGGGTGAGGGGTGCTAGGACTAGCCTTCATTGTCCCTGCTTTGGACGAAAGGGAGCCAATTGAGTTCTTCTGCGTTCTCCACTTTAGCAAAAATAATAATTTCAGTCAGAAAAGAATGGGGTTTAATACTTTGATTCATAAAAAAAAAAAAAAGTTATTTGTTCCTCCCTTCCTGCCTAGTTGTTCCTGCTGTCTTTTGACATTTAAGTAAGTCTTTGAACCTTATTCCACTTCATTATTACGAGCTGTGCCTTTCCTTTGTTTATTTCTTGATTTTCTTTTCCCTCTCATGTAACAAGTAATTTGCCTGACTGTGTTTAAAAAAACAAAATAAAATAAAATAACCTCTAAGATCCTCCTCTGTGTTTCTCAGTAGATTTTTGTCTTTTGTATGTCAGCTTCAGCCTTATCGGGATTATTATTTTTCTTTAAAACACGTAGAACTACTCAGGAGTTTATAAAAAATAGTATCATAATATTTGTAATGTGTGAATATTCCAATGTTTCTAATTATTTGAAGAATGGTGATGATCACCAAAAGTCACCAAACAGAGTAATATTAGGCCTGTGTTATGATCATAACTCACAGGACACAACAGAAAAGCCATTTTTCATAAAGCGAGTTCTCAAATCAGAAGCATAACACACTAATCCAAGTTAAGCAGACAAATGCAAGTTCAAGAGAACCACCAGCTACTAGGTTAAGTTCTTCATTTCCCACCACTGAACAGTGCTTTCACTGGATCACCAATGTAGCATTTAAACCCAGATAAACCTTGAAGCTGTCAGGGTTGGAATTAAAGCTTTGTGATGTCTTCGTTTTTTCCTTCAGACAAAATGGACTCCAGAACAAAGAGCCCGTGAAAGTCTCTGGCATACAAAATTTTTCTGGCAAATCCATACTTAAAAGCTGGGCAGTGTATTCTTCATCTCCACTGAGATAAGTCACACCCCTTCTTGATTATATCACTTAAAGATGTGAAATACAAAGAATGAAAAAACATATCTGAAATATTAATTGGGATGACTTCCATTAGAATCAAACATTAACACATCAAAATCAGTATCCAATTTTAAAACACCACATTCAGGAGTACAGACAAATTTTATCCTCTAACTTTAGGACAGTGTGTGGTTTGCTATTCACAGGATCCTAGCTTTCAGGTGGAACTACAGCATCCATATGGTCCAGTTCACCTGTCATTGTATAGTGGAAATTGTTGGCTTAACAGGCAGAAAAGTACATGCATTCATGGTCTGTCATCTCTTCCCTTTGCCATCAAACTCAGTCTTACTAGAATCAAGTTCTTAATTTTTCTCTAAAGTCTCTGTTCCCTCTTCTTTCTCTACTATAAATAATGATTTTATGCTCTCCCACTCCCACCATAAAGGTTCACAATGTTAGCAGTCATTTTTTGTTTTGCTTCTCCTTTTCCTTACAGAAGACAGCAATGATATTACCCAGGATTGTTGCCTCTTTTTCCTGTCTCCTCCTAAAAATCTTCATTCCGGCTTTTCATTCTAGAACCTCCACTGTAGGAGGTACCACATCATTAAATCCTTTTCATCCAATCTAGCACAGTCTAGAAAATGCTTCAAAAAGCTTTCCTCTCCACATCTCTGCTTTCATTTCTTTCTGCTCACTGAGTTCTTCATCTTACCATTCCATTCACAGTACTTACTCGCTTACCTCTATACTCTCTCTGCACCAAGGTCTTGCATTCGCTTCTTAGTGCTTTTTCCATTTGCTTATTGCAAAACAGCTTCCTTGTTTCATTTAAATCACTTCTTTTAAAAAAATGAAAACAAAACCAAAAACCTATCACCTATGAAATATTACCTGAGTACCTGAGTAGTACTGTAAGTAAAATTAATTTTACAATGCCTCAGGCGGTGCATCAAGTCTGAATTACTTTGTTTACAGTTGCTATTTTGAGCAAAAGCCACTATGCAAAAGAGTATGTATTTGTTATAGTACTAACCATGTTGTCAAATAAATAAGCAGTAACAATATTGCACGGGCAGATGCATTGGCTGACCGCGCTTCAGTCATCTGTGCAGCACCCTCATTCTTACCTCTCACATTAGGGCTAGGGGAAAAGTTTTATCTGAGGCTGAGTTTTGTTACTATTCCACAGAAGCAACATAAGCAAGGGATTTAAGTCAGACATTATATTTATGTTTTGATACATCACACAAATACTATTAAATCAGTTACTGTAGTCAGAAATGGATTTTGCTATTTTATCTTTTCACAGACTTCCTCTCTGAAATCACTGTAAATGACTGAAGGTGTCCAGTTCACATACCAGCAGCTAGGGTGTCAGCAGTCAAGGTTTATCTAAAATATTTTACATACTTTGAATACTTTACAGATTCATAGGAGGCGGCTCAAAAAATCTCATCCTTGAGTGTTTTCTTCCAGTTCCTATCCTCCATTTTAAGTCATATTTCTTAGATCCAACTTTTCCTCTTAGAAGTTATACTTTTTTATTGCTCTTCCTTTGCCTCCTCATGTTTTTATCCATCTCATATCTTTTTTCAGCCTACCTCACATTATAAAATATAATTTTCAAATTTTTATTAACCTATTTTTTTGCATCTGTCTAAATCCATCACTTATTTTTTACGTTATAGGCGTAAATGTGTGTTTAAGGTAATCATAAATAGGAGTACCCAACATCTTTATTCAGCTACCTTTTTATTTTAAAGGACTCATGCCTGCTGCATTCCAACCTGTGTACTGTGCTACAAAGCATGGTGTAATTGGATTCACACGGTCAATAGCAGTAAGTATGTGTTTTTGAAAACAGTAGCAGCAGCTCCTTGGGAACATGTTAATTTCCTCATGTTCCCTCTCTATTTTCCGAAAGAAAACAAAGTGTCTGAAGCAGTGGATGTTCCCTGCTTTCACAAAGGGAATCCAAAGATTGAATGAGTAAGGCATGTGTGTGCTTATGAACAATTCGAAGTTTTGGGAGCATGGAAGAAAGATGTTGCAAAGTAATTTGAGGACAGTGGGAGGAGCCCAAAAGTCAAATTCTTATCCAAGCCTTAAAAATATTTTTCATAACTCCATCCCAGTCATTTCACATTTTGGTTTCCTTATTTGTAAGTCAAGTTGATGATTTTTTTTTTTTTTAATGATAAATAGGCTGTAAATTGTACAAAAAGTGACTTAAACACTAAAATGTTTGCCATTATTTATTCTTAACAACTCTCAATATGCTGAAAATGCAAAATGACAGATTCAGAATGTGACATGTTAGATGTTGTGTGACCATATAGTATGTCTTAGCCTCTGACTCCAAAACTTTCTAGTTAATTTAACTTGGATGGAGCAAGTATGATTATACTTTATAGGCTAAGCTTAAAGACAGTAAGATTTCCAATCTAATTTACATAATAAAGCATCTGAAATTATCATTTGGATAGTTTATCTATATTTTATGCTCCTACCCAAATAATTTGGTTTTTAGATTAACCTATACAGATTAGTACGCATAAGTGGTTGCATATAACCTATTAGCCACAGCATGAACCTGACACCTCGTTTTCAACTTTTGTTTTCTCATGACAATATAAACATCACCATCTAAGTTCAAAAATAAAGTGTCTCCTAGAAAATTAGACGAAATGCTGTCTCTGTGGAACATGAGAATGCTGAGGAGAAAAAGAATAATAAGCATAGTGAATCACTGTATTTACCAGGAAAGCATAACGTTGGGCAGGTATGATACAAAACATCTAGGACTTCAGTTTCTTTTCTTCTCCAGGCCAAATGGGCAAGCTAACATATCACGAAAATGACATGTGATTTACATAATACCAGAAAGGGTTCCTGTTAAATGTTGAAATAAACAGAAGTCAGTGTTGAACAGTTATGGTTATTCTTGGATATATTATGTACAGTTCATAAGTTCTGTGCCATTGCTAAGGAAGTTCATCCAGCATTCAACACGTGCCTGGATGCTGATCAGACTTCTTTGGTACACACACGCATTGGTAGCACCACAAATGAAGGGCTCTACCGTTCCCAGAACAATTTGTGCTGCTTGCTTTCATCATGTTCCTGAAGTGCTTCCTAAAAAAACTCCTGCCTCTTTCCTGGAGCTCACAGGGACTTTCCTGTGGAGATGCTCACTGACACATTCATCCCTTGGCAGGGACAATAGAGCAGCTGGAAAGGTTTAGCGTTACAATTCTAGGGGTAGAGACTAAATCCTATTTATGTTGACATGAGGGAGGTAAATACAATCTTAGAGTCAAATCTTGATTTGATTTCAGACAGTTTTCTTTTAACAAGAAAGTTCTTACAAGATGGGAAGCATATATTTGGGAGATTTTTTTCTTGGTTTTGGTTATGAGAGTTATACAATCACCCTAGAATACTGTTAATGACATGCTAAGAGCACTAATAACAAAAATATTAGAAAAAAAACAGCTGCATGGAAAGAAGAGTGTTGATTTCTTGCAGAATTGTTCTGCCAGCAAATCAAGCTTTTTTCCTAGTAATCTAGTACAATTACCAGAGAAAACATGCTTCAAACTTAATTGTTGAAACAAAACAATCAATAGTAACAAAATTTACTTACTAGGCAAGGCTGAAAACTACTTAGTAGTAAATCTCATTCTTTGAAAAATTACTTACACAATACTGTTTTAAAATGTCAATGATGAATGCCTAACTTTTTCTCTTTTCTAGTTAGCTGCTAATATGGAAAACTACGGTGTGAGACTCAACACAATTTGTCCAGGATTTGTCAACACACCAATTCTTCAGTCAATAGATAAAGAAGAGAATATGGGACAATACTATTCATACAAGGATGAGATAAAAAATATGATGCAGTTCTATGGCGTGATGGAGTAAGTCAGATACAGTGGGGTTTTGTCCTTCGTTAATGGAGAACAAGCACACACAATAGCACTTTCAGCAAAATTAAAATAAAAGGGAAATGCTGTCTCACATAAAAGTCTATCAATCAGATGTGTTATCCTATATACAAGGAACAAATTACAGATATCTAAGGCCATTTTAAGAATATCACCTACACAGCGGTATCTCCCTTTATGCATTCCCATTTCCCAGCAAAGTGCAAACCAAATTCCCAAGCTAAAGATGGTGGTTTTAGTTTTTAATATCCTTGGCGTTCTTCCATAAGTTTGTTTAATCAAGCTTGTGAGATACAGGGTATATCATTTGTACTGAATTTCCACAAAATTTGCAAGTGAACCGCGATAGAAATCAGATCAAGAACTGAAGAAACTGAACTAAGTTCATAAGAGCACAGCAGCAACTATGATGGATCAGAGCAGAGTTACCTAGCCCATTATGGTGTTGCCAACAAAGGCCAAAAGCAGACAGTTAAGAAATAGTGTGAGAACAAGACAAGCATGAAATGATTTTTTTTAACACTTTCTCGATCTCTAAACAATTAGCTTCTCAGATAGTTCTGCACAAAGGAAATTGTATGATCGCATTGTTTCACCCACACTTTTTCGTTTGTAAAATGTATTGCACCTATTGACCATAGCAAACTGCATGTGACAGAATTCTCCTTACATTAATTTGTATATCAGTTCTGCTGCAGAAACTGGATAAATCAACAGTAAACAGCTGCAGAGGACTGTGCAAGGATTACCCTGACAGAGAAAACTGATAGCAAGCCCAGTGGCAGCTGGATTTAGTCCACGGGGATTTAGCAGCAACTAGAGCAAACAAATGATGATTTGTAAAGTTGCCGCTTTACATTGTATGTCCTGATTGAGGAGACTGAATTTCTCTCCTGAAACACTCATGCCACCTCTGCTTTTCTTCAAAATAAATCTGTTCAAATACCAGTTTGTTTAATTTTCAGGGTATATAGATGTGCATTGAGTTTCTTTACTTGTCCTTTCATGACCCTGAAATAATTTTTTTTTCAGCCCATCAATAATTGCCGAAGGACTGATAACAATAATTGAAGATGATACTCTAAATGGACAAGTTATGAAGATTACAGCATCCCAAGGGATTCATTTTCAACAATACAGCCAAACACCTTTTACATCAAAGAGTAAATAATTGGTTTACGCTAATTATTTTGGATTTTTCTTAAACCAATTGTGAAAATAGTATCTTTTGTGGGAAAAAAAAAAAAGTTAGTGTTGTATCTAGAGCAGTGGCAGTGTTCAAACATTTGCATCCTAATAACAAAGATGGACAAGAAAATCTGGTGTAGGAAGACGTTACCATCCTACTTTGATTCTATAAGCATGAATAATAGTATTTATTCAGTGGAATAAGCACACTGCTCTGAAGATTTTTGTTTATATAGTAATAGGGGCCAGTTTTTTCTTTCTGGTAGTTCTGATCTACATACTCCAAGCGCATTTTGGTGGACCTGACTCACTTTGTATAATTCTTCTTACTGTTGTAAGCATCTACTTATTTATATCTTGAATTCTTCAGACCAGGAATTCAGTTCAGGAAGCAAGAACACAAATATACCTGTAAGGACTTAAGAATTTACTTCTTCTTACGAAATGTAAAATAGAGCAAGAGGCAAACTTCTCTTTCATCATTTATATACGCAACTGAATAAGGTGCATATCACACAAGAAAGTACATTTTAATCTTCTTGAATTTTAGCTATTTATAAAATAGTTCAGAAATATTTTTGTTTTCTTTTATAGATATATATATTATTTTTCTCTCTCTGTATATACAAGGATGAATACTTTGGCATTGATTAAAATGTCTACTTAGTCATTAAATCTCATTTTCTAAACTTTTAAATTAATTTCTTGCCTTGATCGATTAAAACCTCAATTAAATCCTGAATAATCTGGGGGGTTTTGTGTTTTATATACATGTCCATTTTGGTATCACAATATGTATTCTTAGATGCAGCACATCTTACAGTGTCAATGAAAATAAAAAATGAGCTTTCTACCTCCTGAGAGCCACTGGACCTCCTGGATCCAGGTCAATCCCCAGCTATAGTTATGAAACAAACTGTGGTTAACTCCATGGGTGACATGCCTGACAAAAATAATTTTTTTACATGGTAATTTATTTAGGCTCATAACATAAGAACATTTAATAACTCCCGGGAAAGCTGAGAAATAGTTACCCTCCTTAAGAGTACAGACTTTAATTTCACTGATGTAAGCATTGTTTTTTTCAGCATTATAACTGAAAGAGTGGAAACAGTAATATTTACCTTCTGTGGAAGTCAGGGAGTAATAAGACTGTGGGAAGAAGAAAAGAAGCAGACACACATACTTTGAATTACTCATCGTTCTCGCCCTGCCTTGATTTTTGGCTATGTTAACACTGTTTTTAAAGCCTATTTTGGACGCACACATGATCGTAGCCACATCATCAGCTTCCCTGAAAGCATCTGTTTATCCCTCTGGTCTGACAAGTACTATCAGATTTGATTGTATTAATTTCTACTTTTGCCTCATTAAAATCAGACATTTGCTAATACATGACAGAGTAGTGCAAAAGGTGTGATGTAAACTTAAAGTCAGCGTGCTTCATTAGTTAGGTCCTAACATGATAATCATCTACCTCTGCTCCTCTCCTTGTTAAGCAGTATTTCAATGTCATTTATAAACAAGGGAAGGTGTAATAATAATGACAGTATATGCAAGCCACGTAACTAGCAACTACCACACTAAGATAAGTAATTCAGCAGCTTCTCTTAATAACATACTTCAAATAATGATGGCAATGTTGTAAATGTCTGTATGTATGTTGATGATGTGTAGCTGCTGCCCCAAAAGAAATACTTGTTAAACAGGGAGGTTTGAGTTTTCCAAGGGATCAATGAAAGAATATATGATTTAAGAATGTTAGTAATAAAAGACCAGAAGTCTGATGTATGCTCCCTGGAGGAAGAAAAACAGAAAGAAATTTAATTAGAGCCAATCACTTTAGACATTGTACAATTAACTTGTGGTATTGCACTGGTACAAAATTGTAATTCTGTGCATCGGCAGTATTCTAAGAATGGATTCCATTTATGTGGTATATCAATAGTCACGCAAGACAAAACTAAATTAATAAAATACGCAGTTAGACTCCAGGACACCTGGAAAATCTAAGCCTATATCTGGGAAAGAATTAAAGCCATATCTTTCTTGTATATATAGGTCTTTTATTCTGGATTATTTCTGTAACTCAAAGACAGACATTTACGAATCAAAGCCATACAGAAAACATCATCAAAGGCAGATACTGCATTCACTTCCATCTAATAATCTGTTAAGGAAGTCTCAGAATGCAATACATGCTCATTTGATCAAGTAAACATTTATACTAAGATAAATCTCAAATTATTACCTCATCTGGAATTCACTGAAAGAAACAAGGAACTAACAATGGAGTAAAACTCTGATGGAAATTCTAATAGGAAAAATAGCCACCGCATTTCTACCTTTTAATTAAAAAAAAAATAAAATGCCCCAAACCAAATATTACAGTTTTTCCAGTTTCACATAGTCTGTATTATAACACATCTGAGGTTTTTATCTGCACAGGAAGAACAAGTCCTAAACATGTTTTGGAAAGATTTCCTGTAAGACTTCCCCCCAACCTTTGGAAGTCTTCCAGAAAGTAAGAAAAAGAACATATGTTTGATTTACAGACAGAAACATCCAGAGAAGCAGTAGGCAGAAAGATGAGTTAAAGGGAGAAAGTGAGTTTCATTTTTGCACAAAGATTGTTTTGAAACTTCATCTTCAGTTAAAAGTCTTGACATAATTCCAAGACATAGTTTATTTTGCCTGGAGAGCCTCGTTTTTAAGACGACTGTTTCAGTTTTGTAGGGACTCAGCCAAAAGGATAAATAAATATTTTAATTGAGATACACTAATTGCCAAGAACTTAAAATTACAAGTAACAATCTAGACTCATATAATGAACATTATTTGTAATGAACTTCCAATCCCATGTGACACAAGTTGACTTTTCAGAGGATTCTTACAGTTTCAAACAGGAATATTTCAAGGGTAAAGAATAAATATTAGTAGTGAACTCCACTTTTTCAGTGTTTATGATCCTGCATGAAAGCTCAAATCATAAGACATTTCAACTGCTTTGTGACATGACAGTATTACTTTACTTGTATTATTTAATGCCTTGATTCAAGGAACTGTTTTTGAAAAGGTACATTACCATAGTCATCAATATAATGATGTGGCAAACACATCATATTCTGTATAGCTCAGACAAATTGACTTGTATTATGTGTATCATAAAATCATATGTGTATCAATTTTATTATTGAGGCAGTGATCCATGCAGTAACAAGTCCTCCTCATAGTTTCCTTAAATTAAGAAGTCCTGATATGAGAGTCTAGACCTCTTCCTCTTACTTGGAACATAAGCTTTGCAAACAGCAAACCAAAAATAAACTTCAGTACAAAATCTGGTTTCCACTGAAATCTTGAACATGAGCCTAATCTTTAAAGGAACAGCATTAGATATCTAATGCTATGGCTTTTGGGCAGGATGGGGCTCTTCTGACAGATAATCATTTCCTTCCTCCAGTGTTGAACTGCTCTAAACTTTCTACAGTATGATTCTCCAGCTTGAACTTCCCTTTTAGCTGAGTCTATTTGCTTTGCATCAAAAGACGTTGACAGTTTTCAGCTCTAGGTCCAGAAGTCCAGATGGTTCAATGAAAGTGAAGGATAATACCATATGACTTAGATTAATTTATTTTTTTTTCCCTCCAGTACAAAAAGTAACAGCTTAATGTCAGGTCAAATTCATAATTCAAACTCAGAGGGACAGAAAACAACAGTTATGCCCTCAGTCTGAAAGGGACAGTAAACAGGCTAAACCTAAAACATCTTTAAAATAGGTAACTTAACCCCACTGGGAATGTGGAAGGCCATTATTATGAACTGCACACCAAATTTAAACCTGAATGTTTTCTTACTTGTATAGAGACAGTCTAATGTATTATTCTCAGGGATTCAGAGGATAAAATGAGGATTTTCTCAGTAAAAATTAACTTCAATGAAAAAAAACTTTATTTCAAGCAATCATTCTTTAAGCAGTGAAGCATTCGCAACTGTTACATATTCAGCTCCTTTTATTTTTCCACAAGCTCTATGCTAATTCACTGGTGGCATCTGCTGGGCAGACCTTACAGGGATTACCACTGCAGAGGCAGAATTAATTTCTTCGTACAGAATTGCACTTTTTCAGCTTATACTTTCATCAGAGGGTTCCTAGCCCTCCTTCTTTCACCCAGAAGAGAAGCCACACAGGACAAGATGATCATCTGGTGATGGGTCTGACATCTGGTCCAGGATTTTTGGATAGTTTAAGGCTCTAGATTTAGCCTCATGAAGCAAAGATTTATTGTAGTGACATCCAAGAAGAATGCAAAAGGTCTCTCTAATCCCTTATTTACGACCCCGACCTTGCCACCACCTTCTCTGCATCTTTCCATTGGACTACCTTAAACACAAGATTTTCAGCAGTGAACTACGGTCCAGCTACAGCAAAACACAACCGCCTCTTCAGCAGTCACCAGGAACATATTCACTTAAGACATCACTTATTTCACTAACTTCAAATAAAATGTAAGGCCAGTTTATCAGCTCATGTGATGTTCCACTCCACGGAAATGCCTTAACATATCTCAGCAGCATTCTTCTTTTTGCAATGAGAGCCTTCCACAGCAGCCGCAATCTTGAGAAACTAAAGAAAGAAGAATAAGAAATAAGGCTCTCAGTTGCACAGCTTTGAACTTTTTCCTATAGGACATGAGAATGAGCACACTTCTGCCTGCTTTCAGAAAAAAACACAAAGACAACTTTTCAGTGCACTTTCCCACAGCTGCAAACAAAACCCACAGAAGAGAAAATAAAGATATTTTTGGAATGTAGGGATGGAAAAGTCTTCAGAAAAACAGTTGTATTTTAGCTCATCTAGCTGTTCCTATTTACATAAGTGATTAACACCTCAGAATCTTGTACAGCATTTGACCTTGAAGACATATTTCTGCAATTAACGCTACAAGCAGTTAACCTCACATACACATTTCTCAAGAAAGACCC